TGCGCTGTCGCATGCGTCGGAATTTGTATACGGTTTGTTCCAGCTGGAAGGCTTTGTGCTTGTGCTGCATGAGTAGTTGCTGCTGCTGCTGCTGCAGCAGCTGCAGCAGCAGCAGCAGCTGCTGCAGCAGCCTGTGCATCTGTATGTACGCCTGTGTGTGGGGAGAAACTATCTATACCTGCATCTGTATGAGGCTCTGTCTGCTGCCACTCTGTTTTTTCTGATACAAAATTATTTAATAACAAATTCGAGTTGGCTCCACATGCTGCTGTCTCTCTTATTGTCTCCTCGCGTACAGTGCAATGCTTTGCAAAAGAAAACTCTGTCCACAACGATGCCCCGGGATCGTCTCCTCTGGGATCGTCTCCTCCACCACCAAGTGTCTCCTCAAGCGCCTCCAGCAGCCGCTGTCTCTCCTCCTGCGGCCGCTCTGCAAACTGCGTCAGCCGCACTGTCCCCTTTGAGCTGTACATACACCCCAACACAGCAGCACCCCACACGAAGAACACTACAAAAAAAACACTCAAGACAAAGACACACACGCCTGAGCCCGCAGCAGTCTCTGCATGCACAACCAGCCCCACAACAACGCCCGCCAGTAAGCAGCACCAACAAAAAAAAAGAAAAAAAAAAGGAGAGAGAGAAACAAATAAAGAAAAGACCAGTGGTCTACAATCCCTCGAAGACTTCATACAAAATATCTCAAAAAAAACAACAACAACCCCACCCCTCCTGGAGTTATAAACACACTCTTTTTATATTAACACAAAACGGAGACAACTGCATGCAACAAATACAGAAGGAGACAGTAAACATAAACTGCACCAAGCTCACGGGTCTGGGTCTCCGTGTATACATTTATTTATTTCTTCTTGGTCTTTTTCTTTTTTCGATTGAAGCTCTGCATCAGCAGAAACTCCTATAGTAACAATACCACTGTCTCCGTTGTCCCCGGGTGTGGGGTTGCTGTCTCCTGTCTCCTTTTCTGTCTCTGTCTGTCTTGACGATAAAACTCTATCCTCACCGCTCTCCCCTGACTGCGTGTGGGGTGCTGGAGACGACGGAGACACTCGATCCCCACCGGCTGTTGAGCTGTCTCCTCCGTCTCCGCTTATATTTGTATTACCCCCATGAGACTGTAAGCTCTCTACGAGGGGGCCCTTGCGCTGCTTGCTTTGCTTCTCAAGGGGCCCCTCTACTATAGGCTTTGGGGGCCCCCGGGGCCCCTCGAGGGTCTCGGTATCAGGAGAGGGCCCCGCAAGGATACACTCTGGTTGGTCTGGTGAGGAGGAGACAGTTTTACGTGGGCTTGCTGCTTCGATCTGACACGAGAGACAAATATAAACAAGGAGACAGGAGACAGTTGCTGACG